GCTTATAGTTAGACTTAAAAGTTGATATAGGTACCCGAAAACAAGTGTCGCGTGTTTTCGCTCCAGACGCAGAATGAATCAATCCTGGTTTGATCTTTGACTGCTGGGTTGAGCCTTGTCTACGAAAAATCCGTGAGAATGTACATCCAGATACAGAGGATTCACACACTGTATGAAGGGGGCGTACGAGCCACAGCGCTATACTACTATTGTACTATAATCTGAACAGCTATATACTAGATTGCAATACAAAAACTATATCAATCAAGCAATACATACCTGAGACTATGAGTACCGTAAGGGACTCCCAAGTTTACATTCAATGAGGTAGATGTACCATATCTCATGTAACTAACTCTACATTCCATGAGGAGTATGTAGAGTTTCAGATACATCTAAACAAAGCAATAGTATATCTAGTGTACCTACATCCACTGAACATGCCCATCTGTGTGCCTGTCCCCTGACATACCGCATTCCAAGTCGTCTTGTGTGTGCATTCAGGACGACCTAAAGTACGATAAGATCATTGACTGCTGCTGTAGGCCCATCTACACGTTCGGTGTATCTGCACCTTGGTACCTATTCACAGTGTCAAGATGTATATCCACGTACACACCACTTACCCCCAAACATCAACTGTCTCCATTGCTTCGCTCTGCGTATCACACACAGGATGACGAGGACTACGATGAGATCATTGACTGCTGGTTCGAGCCCTTACTCAACCCAGACCCACCCGTAGTACCGCCCAGAGGGGTCTACCGAGTTGGAGATGAGCTGACCATCAGTATACGTGTAGTCAACAAAAGTGACTTTGACTTGGCATTCGATAGCGTGTCTCTGGCGATACAGATATACGGCGATGACAACGCCCAGAATGGCGAGGGTGCCAGGGACGGGTTCACGGATTTAGACGTTAGTAAAGGTATCGGCCTGTTGATTTGTTGAGCTTGCGCATTTAGATTCGAGTAAAGATGATCCCTTGGAAGAAGTCTACGAATGTGAGTGTGTGTGTGTGCGTGCGTATATGTGCGTGTGATTGTATGTGTGTACGTGTATGTGTGTGTGTGATTGTTAGTGCGAATGTCCCGTATGAGAGATGAGCTTACATCAGTATATCGGTAGTTAACAACAGTGCCATTGACTTGACATCCGGTACTGAGTCTGCTGTCATACAAAAAATGACGATGTCAGTGTCCAGAATGCCAAGGACTGAATATATATACATATACTTTTTATGCGTGACTTCTCTCTCACTCTTGCAATAACCGAAACTTAAACACGCAGTACCGAATATGTTCAAAGACTCGGATAACAAACCACAATCGGACGATGGGGAAGAAACGGCTCCGTCAACCACAGCACTCAGTTTTATTGCCGCCGGTGTTGCTGTACCTGTGGCCGAGGTATGTATATTTTGCGGGAGCATAATTGTATGTTCACAAAGGATTGCTTGTTTTACTTTCTGTGCAATTACAGGATGTGCATGCACACACACAC